TTATTCCTTGTTCCTCGAGTTTTTATAAGGCAATTTTTTTGAGAGGGGCGGAAAAAAATAAAATTAATTCTTTTTTCCCATTAGATTTGTGTGATTCTCAAAGAATTGTAAGTGAGATCATTGATCGAAGAGAAGAAATGAAATAAAATTTTATTCCATGTATAACCTTGTTTCTCATCTGCGCGAGACTTCGGTACTTTGACCATGATACTCTCACGAAAATGCAACTTGGATTTGTTATGCGGCGGGCGGTAAAAAAAATAAAAAAGATAAAAATAATATTTTTTTAGCATTTTTTTGCGCTTACAAGTCGGCGGGCGCGAGAAATTACGCTGAAATAAAATTTTTATTTAATTTTCGGCTCTTGTTCATTCGGCGGGTTCGCGAAACAAGGGATAATAAAAGTCTGGCCTAGAATGAAAATAATTGAGTGTTTTCATGTTAATGCATTATGTGGACTATTTGATGTCCCCACCCTGTACGATGTCACTCTACAATCGGATGCACTTATACTGTCAGATATACTTACAATGTCTTATGTAATTGCATAATATAACCAAACAACCACAGTAGACGCATTTTCGCCAACGCACAGAACGATCACGAGTATTATACAATACAACTAGTGTCCTGTCAATCAGCATAAACAATACGACATGTCATTACACGTGGCTATTATAGACGTGATAATGACTTCCTTCATAGCGTCAATGTACTTGTACGGTACATTAATGTATCCACCCTGTCTGATGAACTTACCCTGGCCTTGTCTGATTGACTGACTAATTGATTATTATCAAATATACAATTTAGAAAAAAAAGAGAAACTATTTACATTTTCTGTCAATATCTCATTATTGTCATTAAGTGTTACACATGCTATATCAGTGTTCGTTTTCTGATATTTTTAAAATGTTTATTATAAATGTTCTACAGTTGTATTTTATTTTATAACAACACGAGTGATTGACAATTTTTCGTTCTCATAAATTAAATATACTAATGCTCGGTTGCATTTTTATCGTCGAATCAATATCTCTCCTGGACCAATAAAAGACAAAAATATTAGGTTACGTTAATCTGACGAATTGCCAATATATAATTCACCTCACCCCATGGCATAGTTTTATTTATAGATTATTCAAGATCAATTGAAAAGTAAACTGACAAAAGTTTCAGTGCTTGAAATGGCGTCTAATAAATCACCAGACCACATTTATCCCCAATAATTATAAATAACTTTTTCTTTGTTTTCCAGAATTTCTGCCACTTGAACGTGAATATGAAACTCGTCACACTGACTGTCATATTGATGTCCATAACGTTTCACCACACACATGCCCAGTCATGGTAAATTACAATACATATATTTTTAATCGTATTCTTAAGCTATTTTTCTCTTAGAAATTTCTTCCACACACATTTATTGATCTACCATGATTTTGTTGCTTATGCAGTTTTTGAAATGGAAAACCTGCACCCCGAGATTGGTCTTCATCAGTACAGTGGAACAAATGACAAAGCATGTTTTCTATAATACAAATAATCGCACATGTTTTGCATGGGCTTATAAGCGTATAAACATGACAATTTTTAAGTACTGAAAGAAATTGAATCTTTATGGTAATAGGGAAACGTGCGTTGTGTGCCCGTATGTGGCTGGTGAAAGTGATTACATGTATTTGTGTATTTTCAGTGGTTCATGGAAGCAAGCACAGAGCAGAGCGCATTGTATTGGTGGTAGTATTGGTCTAACGAAGAGGATTGTAGAGAGTTTTCAGAATAGGTAGTTATTATACATAGTTACTTGAAAACGGTTCGAGTTCTCTTGTTTTCTTTTCTTATTTTGTGACTCACTATTGGTTTCCTATGTCCACACACCCGATGAACTCGGTTGTTTATTTTATTGTTGATTTTTTGTCTATTTTCATTGAATTCAGTTGAGAAAAAAAAAACATCCTAACCAAATTAATTTAGATGGAAGCGATTCGCGCCACCACCGTCCGCTCACGGTTAGGGATAAGAGAATGAGGGCGCTATAACGTCATCGGTACTACTATTAAACTGTCATCTATTTAATGGACTACTTTCTTCATTCGAATAATTTAGGGTGGACTTTTTGAAATTTTCACTGCACAAGAACAGATTCGTTAGAACTTATATATAAAAGTAGCTCATTCTCAGTACACATTAATTTCAATTTAATTGTATTTGTTAGCAGGAAGGCGAGTGGTGACTTAGAAGACAGTAGACAAATCGAGACACGACAAGATTATGAAAACAGTAATGAAATGACCCCACAAAAGCTGAATATTATCGTATGCTTCGTGAAATGTTTGAAAATTACATGAACAATGACAAAAGCTGGAGATCATACGGTGAGTAATACATATTATTTTGTTATCGTAATGATTATATTAAACAAGCACTCTGAGTAGACGAGGCAGGCAAGAGTGCTATACATTATGTTTCGAAATAGGCAAGGGTTACTTCTTGACATTTTTAATGGTCAAGGGATCCCTTCTTAAAATTGTCAATGGTCAAGGGGTCCCTTTTTAACATTTTCAATAGTCAGGGAAACCCTTTTTGACATTTTCAATTGTCAAGGGATCCCCTTTTGACATCATTTTCAGGAATCAATATGGTTGGATTTTTACAGTGTTGATATATTGTGTGATATGTGGCAATGAAAGGCCCATATTATATATATGTAATAATGGGGTTGTAATGTAAATTATATTCAAGTGTTGGTGTTTTCTGGAAAATGTGATTCAAGGGGTGGATTATGAGGAATTTAGTCTCCATTATCGTGATTTTCACCAAAAGTTGGTGAGTCGCATACCCATATACAAATGATACAAGTGATTCCCGTGACGACGGTTGAGTGCCAACTTAAGACGAAACTTGTTCTATTTATAGATACCTCTTTCATCAACGTTGTTGATAAAATCTGTGTATAATCATTAGTGTTGGATGACGGTCGTCTTCAAGGGGTTCAGCTTGATTTGGGTGGGGCGACGTCCCCCCAAATCTTTTTCGAGCGACTGCCCTTCTCTGCCCCCGGTGCCACCGCCACTGACTTTTTTAGCCAAATATCAACAAATGAACAGACTAAGACGAAATGGTATTCATTTTCTACGGAAAATTCGTCACAAAGTAAACATAAGCAGACATGCCAGTCCACTTGCTATGTACAGTCACTCTCAATCTGAAGCCAATCTGATGAATAGGGGAAGGCGAGCATTTGAATATAAACATATTCTTGAAAGCAAAATAACAATTTTTCAGGTTGTAAGTTAAAATCCCGATACGAGGATAAATATCATCAGAGCAGACTTTTCTCGATATATAAAATAGTTACCTTTCCAGATGAAATATCAAGAAAATCGTACATATTTAATATTTCTTCCTGATCCCACACATTTGTGAGATTACAACGCACTAATAGGTTTTAAACCTGACAAATGGTGGTTTAGACCTAAACCCCGATATTGTATTACAGTAAAGCGTGTTGTAGCACTTTTTTGACATCTATGATTAGGTATATTCAGCAGTTTACACCAATATTTAACACATCTTCGTGTAGTATGGAAAAAAATCGGGACTCCCCCACACTCACCATGAAAGGAAACGTTTGGAATATTACAAGGGGCACCCATAAGCTGCGACAGACTAGAAACTGAATTTGCGTCGTGTTAAATATCGGTACGCGACATGTACAACATGTGCACATGTATAAAATTCTAACGTGTCCTATATTACGACTATAGCGCTCAAGGAAACGCGATCGATTTACGACTTGAAAAAAATATATACTTTCTCTGCCTAATATTAGTATAATCAGATGATTATTTCATGATGATAACTAATTTCACATCTATTTTTGTCATTTCAGAAAACTGAAACGGGAATAGTTGAAGCAGAAACGGAGTGTTCATTAGTAGCCGAATAGCTCGTATTTTTCACCCACAACATAGTGTTGACAAATATTGTATAATTTCACTTTACTGTTTCACATGTATTTGTTTCTTTCGAGCAACTAGTGCTGCGAATAGGTTAGCTATGTTATTATGCTGGGAGACTTCATGATTAATGCTTTTAATTTCCGATAATGTTTAATGAATCATATAGTTTGTTAGTTTCAAGTATATTTAATGCTACCTATAGTATTTATTATCATTGAGATTAGCGTATTAGTATTATAATTGTTGTTCACATACTACAGTCTTTGTTTTTTTCAATCTATATATATTTAACTCACTAAACTGTAATCACGTTTAATAAATACACTAGCTGAGGCAGATTGCATAGAACATGCTTTACACGACTCAAAGGTATTGCTAATATATTGTTGTTATTTGTATTTGCATTCTGTTTTATCATTCATTGAGAAAGGAGCGGCTGTGATATGCGACATAAAATCATGGAAAGCAACTAAACCAAACATTTGAGTTTAAATTACAAAATAACGACTCTTGATAACTTGCTCATTGGCATAATTCTCGTATTTGCGACTACCTTATGAGTAATCTTCCAATGCTGCTACACTAAACTATACAGTCGAAACACTTGTACTCCATTGTATTTATAAAGCTGTGTGTTTTATTGCACACAGTGTAACACCAAGCCATAATAACCCAACTTTGTCAGCTTTATTATATTGATTCAACATCAGTGAAGATTATATCAAAATTAAAATAATTGATCGATCACACATTGAATGAACTTAAAAAGGTGCGATCTAACCAAACAAATATGATTTAAACTTTGTTTTTTACTGCTTTTGAAAGAAATTCGATTCCATAATAACCCTGGTGGAGTGTAATGTTTTCTGACGATTGAGAGAATAAATTGAATGCTCAAAATATGTTTAACTATATACACTATACGGCATACACATTTAGCTTACCGCATATGTCTATATCTCAGCTCTAAAATGGTTTGGTTGTTTTATTGGCATGCATATAAACAATTCGAGAATGTCTGAATCACAGATTATTTTATAACTTGTTTCACCACTCTTGGTGTTTACTCGGATTAGAAAAAAATAAAATTTGCGTGCGCTTTAATTTGAGAATGAACATAGCGCAGCTAAGTCGGCTGAAGCACGCTACATAATTAGGCAGCAGTTGTGATTACACACAAGACAAAATAAGTCAATCGCTCATAGAACTCAAGACATTGTGTAAATGAATCTCGTATCGTATGTGCTTAGTGATATATAATTCTTGTAAGATCAGTTGCCACGTTTTCACTAATTATGAATTCGACGTTTTGAGAGATTGGCAATAGAACTCTTCAATATATATATTTTCTTGATTAGCTAGTTGTTATAATGTACACACAGATGGTATATAGCTAAAATTAGGCAAGTCTGTTTATCCTAGCTTCAACTATGTAGCTGCGTACCAGTAATTAACCTTTTCGATTTTGAAATATATAGAATCCGGGAAATTCACTAAAAAAACGAAAAGAATATGAATTTCACTTCGAGCGTCAACTGATACAAATATGACGTTGTACAATCGTGACGTATAATTTATTACGGCACACCCAATCATGTCGATTACCAGCTTCTTCGTGTGACCTGGAATACAGTGAGTCTGTAACTCGAATACATACACATGCAGGTATTAACTAATGACGATATATATCACAACATTACATACAGAATATAGAATCACATTCACAATTATCTAAAATCACAGAAGAGGTTTAGAAATGCACTCTTTTATTTCAGTATCAGAAATTATAAGTGAATGTTTAAAATAATCCGACAGAGTGGAACTTTCTGAACTAAATTATGATAGCACAATGATTGTGTTATTTCTTAAACGTATTTTGTATAAGTTTCGACTAAAAATAAGTATTTTCGCTGTGTTGTGCGTTGTCTGAAACATATGACATCATTCGGCATAGAAATGTTAAAGGTGCTCAATTATGCTGAATCTAATTACACTGAATGAATGCATATCATGGTCTAATCACTTCATCAGTCCCATCAATCAAACACACACACACACACAGTACACTTCTTCCCTAATCACTACACTTGTCTTTCTTAACCGCCATACTTTCACGTCACTGATTTAGTTGTAAGAACGCAATTGAAGTAACTAAACCATTTAGTTCATGTACTTGTAATTCTCATCGGTGTGTAATAAATAGGGTAACTATGCTCGATAATTGAGTTACGTTCGTTGTCTTGTTCATTTGAGGATATAACCTTACCATATACGTTTCCACTGTATGTATGGCAAACACAAGAAATACGTGCTATGATTGTTTCTCTTTGTTTTGATCTATAATTGCAATCAGTTTTTTTCATGGAAATGAAGCCGGGCGTACATGTAAGCCAGTAGCTAGTCCTTGGTAGTACGATTAACACAATGCATATAATTTCACTCTTCACTTACCCCTATAATCCACTCATCGATCAAACAAGTAGTGAGACGTATCATTGTGACCTCGGGGTCAATCATCAATATTCAGGCATGCAGTTTGCGGGTCTCATTTATTAAAATAATCTTTAGATACAATTTACATATAATGTTATCATACCTCCATTTCACATATAGTAATTTTGTAACATTTAGGGGATACATTTCAGAAAAGCAAACCACAAATAGTTTAGATTACAATAATACGCTGACAGACTGTTATTTGACCGAGTAACGCCATGACTTTAATTAGGTAAACCAATAAAATGTCTGACGATAAGTTGACTATGTTTTGCAACGAAAACATATATTTTACTTCCCTATGGAATTGAACAAAAATATTGTAATTTAATAAAATTCATTGAGGGAAAAACATCTAGAATAGGTTAATTGTAGATTAAAATAACATTGCATATTGAACCGTAAAATTATAGTATTGTGTTTGTTTCACTGAAAACACCAATTATCAATGTCAGCTGAAGTGCTAAGAGATCACAAGACAGAATTAAGAAGATTTTAACTACAGCTTTGTGAAATATCGATGTTATAATATGTGGATCTATGTGAGCTTGTGTGTAACCAGTACTGTTTAAAGCTCAGTAGAAATAAATAAGCAAATCGATTTGTTTGTGCTTTTCAAATTTTCTACATATTTAGTTGAAACTCATACCTTTATGATTCATAGCACATGATATAAGAGATATTATGGTTCCGTCTCATTTCGCGCAGCTTGGTGTTGTTTATTCTGAGTCTATTTATGAGTTACGCTGTTCAGTAAGCCATCCACGTAATTTTCAACTAAAACTGAGAAGGATATTCAGTAACTGAACACTGAGGTATTTGTGAAATGTTAAATAATAACTGAGGTGGAATTCAAACATGCAGCAAGAATAACTAAAGGAAATATGAACAACTCTGCGCATGCGTTAATATTTTTGTTTGATATTGTACATTGATCACATATTTTATCGTGAAACAGACATGTTCTACTAAATACTACTCGTTTTGAAATCAATGCATTACGCAAACGCGCATGCGTGTCGAGTAACTTATAATATTATTTTAAGGAGCCTACGCGCTTGAGTAGTATATTAACGAGCAAACGAACACTAGTTCTGTGCTGGGAAAGTAATCGTTTTTACTTTACAATATATCATATTATATAGATTAGAGTTTAGAATAGCATATAATTAGCATACAATATAGAAAACACACGTTAACACATATTCAATCAGTATGTTTGTATTGATGGATAAATATGCTAATAATAATAATGCTACGCTTCTTACTCGACTGAGACGAAAGAAAGTCCACTAATTCACGTTTGTCGTGCAAGGAGGCGTACTATAACCCATGCGCCTATTATCGATAGGTCAACGTCATCTATGGCATACCGTTCCAAAACTTTATGACGATGTCTTGCCAGTTGACGTTGATAGTTCCGTGAAAGCAGCGTTTATGTACACGTTGTAGCTGCAGATAAAATACAAAACACAGAACAATGTACGGAGAGCAATGTGCATCGTAACTGGAAAGCTGGTCAATTAAATAAAACGACAGACATTACTTATAAATTATAATAAACTTGATGGAATTACATAGCATACTAGTATTTTATACACAGTAAACGGTAATAAAATGGAGTTTTGTCGCAAGCGTCATTAAGAGAAAAGTCGGTTTCATGACAATAGATATGGTTGTTATTAATCTTGCTGAACGGATATAGAACAATGCTCCTAAAAAGATCAGTTTGTTGAAAAACATTTTGTATTGAGTGACAGCAATTACGTAATGCAGTGATTCAAACGTGGATAACTGCTTTGCAAAGCAATCACAGATTTTTTTTGTGGTAATAGTATACCTAAATGTGCACTGCTAAAATAAACTGTATAGCCACGTTTCGTCTTTGAGAATATATTTTTGAATTTGTGGCACTGAAACGATGATCGTAAATATCATAAAAATTCATATGATTATGATTATATGTATGGTAGCTAAATAAACATAGTGACACATACAATCTGTTTACAGAGAGTTTAATTTGATGGTAATTCTGAGAATATACATTTTTCCCCACTCAACAAAATTCACTCTCGTCCAATATTGAAAAATCGCAAGTAACAAACATCAACTCTGGTTGATCAGTGTCAATGACGTCATGACAAAAACCGTCATTAGTCAAGATAAAATACCGTAAGAAATAACACAGCGTAACGCAATTATGTGTTCTTGAATGATCATCTTTTTACAGGAAAACTAACGAACTGTAATTAATTAACGAACACCGCAGATAATTGGGACACATCGTATATAGCGAAAATGTTATGAAAATATACTTTACTTAATTATTATCAAAATCTCATAATTTTATTTTATTTTCACTATCGCTACAACTTTCGTAAATATAGTACATAGAAAATAATAATAATTTAATACAAGTTTACCACATGGAAAAGTAATTATAATAAAAAAGCAATAATTAAACAAACACTAGTTAAATACGTCTTAAAAT